TGACAGTGGCTAACACCCCCCCACACACACACTGACAGTGGCTAACACCCCACACACACATTGACAGTGGTTAACACACCACACACACACTGACAGTGGCTAACAACCCCACACACACACTGACAGTGGCTAACACCCCCCCACACACACTGACAGTGGCTAACACCCCACACACGCACTGACAGTGGTTAACACACCCCATACACACTGACAGTGGTTAACACCCCCCCCACACACACACTGACAGTGGCTAACACCCCCCACACACACACACTGACAGTGGCTAACACCCCCCCACACACACACTGACAGTGGCTAACACCCCACACACACATTGACAGTGGTTAACACACCACACACACACTGACAGTGGTTAACACACCACACACACACTGACAGTGGCTAACACCCCCCACACATACACACACTGACAGTGGCTAACACCCCCCACACACACACACACTGACAGTGGCTAACACCTCCCCACACACACACTGACAGTGGCTAACACACCCCACACACACTGACAGTGGCTAACACCCCACACACATTGACAGTGGCTAACACCCCCCCCACACACACACACACTGACAGTGGTTAACAACCCCACACACACATTGACAGTGGTTAACACACCACACACACACTGACAGTGGCTAACAACCCCACACACACACTGACAGTGGCTAACACCCCCCCACACACACTGACAGTGGCTAACACCCCACACACGCACTGACAGTGGTTAACACACCCCATACACACTGACAGTGGTTAACACACCACACACACACTGACAGTAGCAAGCAATTTACAGAGTCAGCACTGGTAGTGCTGACAGGAGCAAAACTTGATTAGCTGGGGCCAGTACTCTCTGTGACCAGTGAGAAACTCTGAACTCTGCGTCTTTAGGGGCTAGCAAGAAAGAGAAAATCATGCATACACACACACACACACACACAGAAGGAAATCGCATCCCAAGTCCGTGGTCCCCATTCTTCGAAAGGGTTGACTGAACCCTAGAAGCCATACTTCAGGCATATCAGCCTTACCTTGGTAAGCCTTGCCAATGAATTAAAACCAACTGCTGACTCCCAGGACCAGGGAGCACAAAATGCAGTTGTTGGCAACTTTCATCCTGCTGAGATGAGAAGAGAGGCTCAAGGAGCCATGCACAGATTTGCACTGCCCTCTTGAGCATCTGTTATCTAGGGAGAAGCTGGTTGTCCAGTCCCAGTGCTACTCACTAGGATCCCAGGGGGACACCCCGACATCCTTGTAGTAGGACCTTCTCAAAAACCCAAGGACCAGTACTGACCCCCTCATCCCTGAACCAAGTCTGCTAGGAGGACATCAAGGCAGCTCTGATAGAGGAAGACAAACAGAGACCAGATCGTCACCCACTACAGGAACTTGCAGGTCACCGAGAGGCATTTCCCACTTGTGCCCTCAACCCAGCACAAGCTTTAAACCATATAAATATAGGAGATAAGTATTCTTTAAGAGGAAACTGCACTCTGGAAAAGAAGAAAGATCAAAAAAGTGTGTGTAAGTCACTGTCTGGAGGCATCTCTCACCTGAGTTCTGGAAGAGCTGTGATAGTCTGTGGCTGTCAGGGAGAGGATGCTGGTATTTATACTGAGACACCCCACTGAGGCCATGGACCCGAGTGCTGCGCTTGGTCCCTGGGGAAAGTTCCACCATGTTGTTTCCTGTGAATGTCTACCAAAGAAATCTCCCTGGACTCCACTCTGTTCACAGGTCAGCTCACCCAATGATGCAACTAGAGGACGCAGGACAGCTTTAGTTTTCTTTGGTTAGCTTTTGTGTTAGGAAAGGCTCACTGGGGAAGTGGATTCCTTAGCTGCTTGGGGTATAGAGTGAGAGGTATCATCTATCCAGGGTCTAGCTTTCTTGGTTGTTGACCTATGAAGGACTTTATGGGTAGAGCCAGATGAGTTGAGTCACTGACTTCTAACAATATTCCTGTCTGTGATACCTCAGGAACAGTTGATCCTAGAGGCTGATTAGCAGTCGCACACAGCCAGGGGAAAGAGGCACAAAGGCAGTGTGTCTGAAGGCTGTCATGGTGACGGAAATGCAATATAGATGTGTAGTTGGTCTTTGGCCATTTAGTGTTTTTTTTTTCTTTCACCATTTCAAGTCCCCTAACACCAGATAAGAAAGAAAAAGGGCTAGAGAGGAAAGGAAAGAGATTCCTGAATAAAGCCAAGGATAGGAAGGGGGTGACATAATTGTTAGACTACTTCTTGCTGATTAAGAGCATCGAGTTCCTTGGAGCAAGTTTGATCTTTGCCATCAGAATATCTAATTTCTTCTTGTTTGTTCTTTGCTCACATCTCCTGAACAAACTGTGATGTCACAGCAACTAACAACAATCAATCACCCACCAACTCTCTCCCAGAGC